GACGGGCCACATCAGTGGCTAGAGACATTGTCAGATATGGCCCATTCGCGCACTCAATGGTGTTCGTGCATCCAAGCTATTGCCTTCAATGCATAGCTCCTTTTCCAACCCCTTTCCAACTTGACAGCTCACTGACAATGCCGGATTTATGCAGCTTTCACCTGCAATGCGCAGCTATCTATGCTCCCCCCAAAGAGTCTGTAAAGGAAACTGTGGTTGCTATAACCACTGTACGCTGAGTACGCAGTTATTATAGCGAACAATGATGATGGTGGACATTTTAGTGCTTTACGGATGGCGGGGTTACATTGATGCTAGGTGGTAACAACCATAGTCCAATGAACGTTGCGCACCGCTGAAAATCGTGCGATCGGTGCTCAGGCCTTCTCCTGTCTGCCTCATAAACAAAGCGCTTAAGGATACGGTAAGTCAGTGGATGAATCCTGAGATCGACAACATTCAAATTGTGAGGAGAAATGCTTCAGCACATGGTGCAAGGATACTGCTAGAACATCGAAGGAGCCGTCCCTTGGATTGACCGAACATCTTTTGTAAGCTACACCGCCTGTATGGCTTCCACGATCATACAGTCTTTAGCCCAGGAGGCTATAAAGGAGACGAAAGTACACTTGACATTTAAGCAAGTTAAGTTTTGCATCCTCCAGTTTTCTGACCACACGCAAGTACAGTTAGGAAAAACATCCGTGAAAGCCCGAAGATATCACAGCTTATGAATTGTGATTTGGAATTAATCCAAGTTTTTGATGAGCGGTAAAGGATATGGCTGTGAGGGTGGAGGCCGTATTCAATCATGTTGGCGTATCTCGTGCGTGATACTGGCCTCATGATATGCGGGGAACAGAGGCGAAAATATATACTTCACGATTAGCAGCCAGGGTGAGCGATTTTACGTAATGTTTTGATGATGAAGAGATCTTGTTGAATACAGTTTCTGCCAGTTTTCTTCTCTGTGTGAAGCATTGAAGCTCACAGACGTCATACTTTTACCAGGAAGATTGCTCAACAAATAGCTTGCAAAATACTTGTCAATGTTGAAAAATCTCTGCTTTTCTTCTGAAGGTCCTTCCACAACCGGAAGCGAAGACGGTTCACGGAACTTCATAGTGGCGCCCATATTGTATAATGCGTAAACGCAACGAATTCCTCTCCATCAACTGTGTTTTGACGAAACTCTATGAACCAATTCATCTAATTTATTGCAACAAAAGAGTGAAACGGGTCCAGCCTGTATTCAAAAACCCACATTCATGCAACTTGCGTTGAACGTTTTCATAAAAATGAGCTCTGATCTCAGGAACGCTTTGAGCAGCCGTCCATAATCGCACTCACAAAGACCTGGCTCACGACATATATCTCTGACGTGAGAATCTCTATAAAGGGTTATTCAATTTTTCGAGCTGACTCAAAACGACGGAGGGCTGCTGGGGTTGCTCCACAATTGCACGGTAATCTGCTAATCTAGACTGTCCCCTTTGATGCCACTCCTGTACCTCTTTGCGATGCACTGTGGATTTCACTCCCACTGCTCAGATCCGATTCTCTCCTTCTTGATGTGGTATTCGGTTGCATCTAGAGTCCTCCGAAAAATGACCAAGTCATATAAACCCTTAGGAAACTTCTTTCCAGCTACCACTTCAATCAATTCTTGCTGCTGGGTGATTACGAAACCCCATAGGTCTCCGGGATGGAGCACCGGCGAGCAGGATCAAGTGGACATTTTGCGGCGGCGCTGACAAAAGCTGTTCAACAGCAAGCTTGGACCCAACATGTCATCACACCCTCCGCGCAGACAAACTGCCATTCTTCCTGGATTTGGTCATCACAAACGAAATACACTTCGCCGATTGTCTGAAAATTACCGCTTCACTGGGACACAGTGTCCACTATGTGCTGACCTTCGATTTTATCTGCTAATGGGCAAAAATCTCGAACCTAACTGGTGGATTCGAATTTTCTGCCTTGCAGACTACTTAGGAACGCGCATCTTCCTTCAACAAGTTAAACTGGGACCATTTTCTGTGGAGAAGCATGTCCAGAATGTTCACGAGGCCAAGGCGACGTTCGTCCCCAAAACAACCACGATATCAGATAGGCCGCAAGAAAGCTAAGGGGGTTTGACTTCCTCTGGGGAAAATTTTCAAATATTTTTCAAACAGCTGTCCAAAGAAGATACAGAAATTAACCTGGCACTTTGCGCAATGCAGAACCGCTGTAAAATTCGCCAATGAAACATGCGAAAACAAGCCACCATTCTTGACCTCGGCGGGAAAAAAAGAAATGCGCATTTCAAAAACATGAGACCACCGCAGAAGCAATACATCCACGTTTTCGGTGAGGGATAGCAATGGGGAACCTACAGGTGATCCAATAGTGGTGTCTGATGTCTATGGAGAACAGTATGCATGTCTATATTCAGACGCAGCCTCCTCGTCACATCCAATCTGCGTACGGCCTCTAACCTAATTGGAATTCGTCGTGAAGGACTTTCCCAATCTCTTGCACAGGGTAAACTCATCTGCGCGTAGGGGTCTGAGGAAGTCTATCCAAAGATCCTGAAGGAAGTGTCATTTACACTGGCGAATAATTTCTATCTGGCGTTTCGTCAGTCGCTTGATGAAGGCCGCCTTCCCTTTTCTTGCATGGAAGCGATTGCCACGCCAGTTCACAAAAGTGGTGACCGACTATCGTCTGCCATCTGCATGCTTATAAGCCTCGGAAGGGTGTCGTGCAAGGTGATAGAACGGGCTCTGAAGCGAGCCATCTAGATCACCTTACAACTAACTGCTTGGTATCCACAGTTCAAAGGGGATTTCTCTCAAACCGTTCCTGCGTGCTGAACATATGCTTATGTTCGCCAATGAAACATGCGAAAACAAGCCACCATTCTTGACCTCGGCGGGAAAAAAAGAAATGCGCATTTCAAAAACATGAGACCACCGCAGAAGCAATACATCCACGTTTTCGGTGAGGGATAGCAATGGGGAACCTACAGGTGATCCAATAGTGGTGTCTGATGTCTATGGAGAACAGTATGCATGTCTATATTCAGACGCAGCCTCCTCGTCACATCCAATCTGCGTACGGCCTCTAACCTAATTGGAATTCGTCGTGAAGGACTTTCCCAACCTCTTGCACAGGGTAAACTAATCTGCGCATAGGGGTCTGAGGAAGTCTATCCAAAGATCCTGAAGGAAGTGTCATTTACACTGGCGAATAATTTCTATCTGGCGTTTCGTCAGTCGCTTGATGAAGGCCGCCTTCCCTTTTCTTGCATGGAAGCGATTGCCACGCCAGTTCACAAAAGTGGTGACCGACTATCGTCTGCCATCTGCATGCTTATAAGCCTCGGAAGGGTGTCGTGCAAGGTGATAGAACGGGCTCTGAAGCGAGCCATCTAGATCACCTTACAACTAACTGCTCGGTATCCACAGTTCAAAGGGGATTTCTCTCAAACCGTTCCTGCGTGCTGAACAAGCTTATGCTTATGGGCAGATTACCCCAAGCCGGGGACGAGAGACTCATATCATTAAGAACAAAATATCACAGAAACCTTCAGATGAACTCTGTTGTAAAATTCTACACTTCAGATCTTTTTGTTTTCTGACCTCATGTGGTGTTTGCGCCAGCGGCTAGACGCACAATGTATTTTTCTGAAAACCCCTGGCTGAACAAGCTTATGCTTATGGGCAGATTACCCCAAGCCGGGGACGAGAGACTCATATCATTAAGAACAAAATATCACAGAAACCTTCAGATGAACTCTGTTGTAAAATTCTACACTTCAGATCTTTTTGTTTTCTGACCTCATGTGGTGTTTGCGCCAGCGGCTAGACGCACAATGTATTTTTCTGCAAAACCCCTGCGGACGAAATGAAAACTTTAACGTCAAAATGTTGCACTTCTTTGCATATATGCGTAGACTGAAAACCGGTGTTTGCCTCTAGTAATTGGCTCAGTTCACTACCCGGATTACCCAACATTTATCCAGTGTCTCCCTAGTTCACGAGAGAAAACATTTTTAGGCTTTCTGAGATATATTAGCATGTTTCCAAATATCTGGATGATACCAGACCGCTGTGGTCACCGACTCTTTGTTTAGAGCGACATGTGTTTTGTGCGGAATGTTTGGTCATTTTCAAGGTCAGGATCCGTTACCGTGACCCGCTGTCAGCTGGTGTTGGCAATATGACGCTCGAGGAAGCTGCAATGAAGAAAGATCCTGGACAGGCTAACCTTGACTCGGTTCTCGTTAGCAAAGCAACGCCGGAGTATCTACAAGATCTGCTAAAAGATAAACGACAGCTACAAAATTTCCCGAACATGTTCATACATCTAGAAATCATTTTAGAGAAAGGTAAGGAACCCAACTCCCATTTTCAACAATCGATCCATCTTTCAAGAACTTTGTTTATTATTTTAGCCGGGAGTGAGGTAATTTTTGACTAACCTGTTCGATATCCCCCGTAGCTTTAAAATCCTACTAATTCATGCATGCTAACCAGACCGTCCAGACCTGGATGATGAAGAATCACACCAGTTTTCCGTAGTTTCATTTACTCGTTGGTGGGGTTAGTATGGCTTATCACTCTTGTGACCGTTGAATACCTTTGTGTCCCACGCAGTGATTTGGCATTCCGAGTGACCAGTTTTAGTCACTGAAACGCTCAGCTCCCGCTGTATTGAATGGTATATGGCTTCGTTCACCGTTTGTATCATAGCTGTTACTGGCGTAACAAGTTTTCCTCACAATAAAGTGCACATTCACCTTAGTTTTTGATAGTGCCTGTCTCCTAATTTTATCCATAACCAGCTGTTCCAGTGCCTATTTTGTCCATAAAGCACTAGATAACACGAACGGTTAAAAATTGCATCTGAAGTGTAACTTACTACCAAAACTCTTAATCTAATGCCTCGCATTTGCTTATACCTACGTAGCGCTAGTCACGATTACTGAGTCATGCTAATATAGTGCTATGTTGATGATTTTTTACCGGTTTAGAAATTAATCGCGTCCGAGAGAAGTTATTTCATCTCAACGAATCGTTCAGAAAAACGGAGAATGAGTTACCTGAACCATCTGGGGTGATTACGACATTGCAGGAGAAAGTGTTTGTTCCTGTTAAAGAAAATCCTAACGTAAGTTTCTTCACAAAACTCACTACAAAATTCTAGTATAACTTCGTTGGTCGACTTTTGGGTCCACGGGGCTTGACTGCCAAACAACTAGAGCAAGATCTTGAATGTAAGATCATGGTTCGAGGAAAGGGTTCCCTTCGGGACAAAAAGAAGGTAAGCCTGATTTCTATACATTGGATTGTGATTGACTTTCGAGAAATGAATTATGGCCAAACCATTTTGCCAACTGTACCAATAATGACTACCAATATATCTTCAATGCAATTTGATGCAACAGTTCAGCATGGCTGACGGTACTATAATGTATAAGGGGTATTTGTTAGGTTTTATTATTCACGTCAGGTCAGCACATTTTCTGGTAGGTCACGAAGAGTTCGATTTAGTTCTTAAAATCTCCTAACTCTTGTTCGCAACTATTGTTCCATTAACTCACCATGTGATCAGCATCTACTTTGAAAGTTTCGAATACAAAACAACTCACTTATGACTAAACCTCTCGGTATATTGCAACAGCCTACTTTATTCGTGATTTCGGTGGTACTGGTCTCCATCACCACATGAGATTTTTACTACTGACGCAAGTTACGCACAGGTTTCATGAGGTGGGAAGGGAATACGGTCCTGTTTTATAATAGCTGACAACATAAACTAGTCTGTTGGTGTAAGTTTTGTATAGCCAGGTGACAGTCTTATTTTCGTATAGTGAATTGGTGTAGAAAATGTGGGGTGACCATGTAAGCAGAGCACTTTCCTCCAGAGCTCAAGCAAACTAATGTATGTTTGTTCTATCTAACTCAACTTGCAGACTGTTACAGACCTTCAAAGCTAGTTAAGTTCATGCGTCCTGGCGTTTTCTCGCAGACGTACCATGTAATCAGTCGTAATTGTGATCTCAATATATATGGTGCGAAAATCAGATCTCTACGATCCTTCTGGTTCTCAATAGTCGGAATATTTGAAAATGTGCTTGTCGACAGCTGTATCTCAAAACCAACGCGCCTTTCTAGTGGACGTTTACTAAAGCTCTCCAACGCTCATTCTACAGGTTCGTTGGGTGTTTCCGAGTTATTGAGGCGTGGTCCTACAGCTGAAGTAGATTCTCAGTAATTCATGGGTGATCGGGCAACCAAAGCTAAAGACATTAACTAAAACCCTTTTTTAAAGTTGCCAGCGAATGAAAACGATTTATCTGCCTATATCTCAGCCTAGAGACTACTTTTCATCTTTACTCACCGGAGGTTTCAAACACCAGGACCAATGTTTTAAAGTATGGATTTGAAAAACATCTCAAGGAAGCCACAAAGTTATGGTAGTTACGTCTGTTTGAGCATGGCCTGAGAACGGTCGTTGATTTATTCGCTCAGGAGGCAATTCTTTTGTCCATTGACTAATTGCGAATAACCAACCAGACAATCCTTAGTCAGTTGGAACAGTAACTGGCAAGTGACGGCAGGCTAATTTTATCAGCAGGGGGAAGGCCGTTCCTATTAGCGGAATTTGTCAAAAAATCGAGCACTTAGCTCACTAGCAAGTCACACTGTGTGATGAACGCACATAAATAATTTCCAATAACTGTTGGTTAGTCCGAAATAGAGACAACATTTATAAGGCAATTGGTTATTTGTCTTGAGAACCATCCTGATATAAAAACAGGAATTTGGTTGTCCTCCCTGATTAGGAGACTGATGGTGTACATCAGAAGAGCTACATAGTATCTGTTTCTTTCAGTTATCAAGTAGCTCGAAGATGGCTCGGGTGTGGTTAGAAAACATGTTTGTTCAAATATTTATGTTGCACTTGCAACTGTCTGAGGACTGAAAAATATACTCTTATCGAGATCTGTACGAACTGATTTGGTCCTCAAGTGAACTGGTAATGTCAGTTTTGGACCGAACTATGGGAGCTCATGAGGGTGGCCGAATCCGAGTAAATATCATCCACAGACAATATAAGTCGACCACGTGAGCTGCTCATCTGTTTTCTGCTGGCAGAAATTTTCATTGTAACAACTAATACTAAATATCCATTCCTTCACTAACATGCACTTGGATCTTTGTTGTTCATCAAGCTAGGTAGTTTCACCCACGTCACCTCTGGCAGTCTGATTTCCATCGGGAATTCGTTGTATGATAGTGTGTCCACTATCTCTATTGGACCAGCGTATTCCAACGGATTAGATTGGTATATTTTTTCCAGTTCCGAGATAAAAATCACCAACTGTAAAGCCGTCCCAAAATACGTCGACAAATGTCGACGTGTGAAATTATCTAGCTGTCTATCTATTCGTTCCAGTATGACAAAACTGATGTCAAATTTGGTAGTTGCGGATTAATTGGTGTCCATAGAACTATGCCACCCAGCTGTTAATCAGAAATCACCCGAGTACTAAATGTTCAAAGGCTTGAGGAACCAAGCGGGCCCAAGAGAAACCCACCATCAGCAACCGAAATCGAACATGAAATTTCAATCTGGAAGCGCGACAAGGCACTTAGCCCGGATGTCTACACCCCGTGCTCTTCAAAGAAGGTGGGAGGTCTTGGTGAACAGTCTGACAACCATACTGCGGAAGATTTGGAGCGAAAGCAGAATACCAGCCGAATGGTGCTTATCGACCGTCATCCAGGTTTTCACAAAAGAAGTGAGAACGTCACGTGAAAACCATCGTGGTATCAGCCTGTTGTCCGTCGGATCTTAGATGCTCTCTGGCGTTGTTTTGCGCATCTTGATAGATTATCGGGAGAGACAGATTAGTGAGAAACAAGCTGGGTTTCGTTCTGATCGAGGGTGCATTGACCATATCTTTACCTTGAGACGATTCTTGAACATCGGTGATTCTTCGGACGTCCCACGTTGGTCGTTTTTCTTGATTCGAAAGCTGCTTCTGATTCTGTCGATCGTCGGAAACTTTGGCGGTGTCTGGCAATCAAAAGTGTCCGTTCTAAATTTATATCCCTTATTTGGGTACTGCATCCGAACTCCCGTAGGTGCGTACGAGTATACGGTAAGCTTTCATCTGAGTGTACCACGTCGAGTGGTGTAAGACAATGCTGCCCTCTCTCACCTTTCCTCTTCAAACTTGTTGTTGCTATGGTGCTTGAAATTTATCTGCTTGCCCCTGAAACCTCGGAAGTCGAAATGCTCCTGGGACGTTGAGTATGTTAGCGTTATTGCTCTCCTTGGTTCAGATCCTTTCAAAATGCAGACGATCTTGAATAACCTAAATAACTCTGCCACACAATTTGGTATGTGCTTCACAACCGCAAGGGGTAGAGTGCTGTTACAAGATTAGGTTGGATCAAGTCTAAACCGTATGCTTGCAGGCGAGCCAATCGTTGTGCTTGATAGATTTTTTGCCTGGGAAGTTGCACAGTTTCCGGTATACTGGCTAGAGATGAGATTACTTCTCGAACCGGGAATGCCAGGACAGCTTTTGCCACCCTCTGACACCTACGGTGTCGACGTGACGTCATTTTGTCTACCAGAAGCAGAGTTTATACTGTCATGCGATCCACACTGCTTTATGGATCAGAGACGTCGATGGTTAGAAGTTCCGCAACACAATCTCCTTGTCTTTCATGTTTGCGGTTGGGAAATGCGTTGCGACTTGTCCTTGAGAATGGTAACACACTTGGGATTGCCTTCAAACACCGCTGCCCTGCACTCGAGCTTTCAAACCAGAGGCTTTAGTCGAGGACACTAATCTTGGCGCCCCGGCAGTACCCCAACTGACCTACAACTAACAATACTCTTATATAATATCGGCCGTCGCCTTGTCTCATCAGTCGGTTCGCCTCACTTGCTGCATACAACAGTGTGGGTAAGCGAAAGCAGGCTACGGCTAGCGCCTCCCTTTTCTCTCCCTCATACTTTTTCTCCTCCCTCCCCCACCCCATCAATGACTCTCCTTGTAGGCTCCTTTGTTAGGGCTTGCAACCCAGCTGGTCTTGCAACGGTTTTGGTGCATTACCTGGCACCGACAACATCGGACATATGGGAATTAATCTTCAATCCACGGCTCGCAGTCTGTCCGGCCGCTTGTAATGTTCGCACTCTGAAGCAAGCAGGAAGACAAGCTGCTTTTGCTATCACACTAGACCCACTTGATACTGGCGTGTGTTATGCATAAGAAAAAAAGAACTCAAGATCCAAGCACAGTGGTTGAGCTAACTTTCTCCGTCACTCTTCACTCGCTTCCGTCTGGTGATCCAAAGACCGCTGCGACAGGGCCTACAGGGGTTGACATCGTCCTAATTCACCGGGCGGGAGGAATCTTACTTGACTGGATGCCCACTGACAGTTATCTGTATGTTGTTCATCTGATGACGTCCGTGAAGAAATCCCACAAGCGAAACGTTGATCACTGTCCGTTTTTTGTGTCTGCCTTTACTCCCTTCGACTGCAGCTCTGACACCAAGGAAGTTTTATAACCACTTGAATGCCCTGTTACACTCACTTAAAGCTTAAATATCGCTGCAGTTGCCCAAGATGTGAATGTACAGGACTCAACAAGATGGTCGGCTTGGACTGGACTCGATATTTAGAGGTTAAGATGGCTCAGTGTTTAGGATGTGACTTACTGACCGGAGGTCCGTGGTGCAAACCCAACTTCTGCATCTCGACTATTTCTATCTAGGCCTGGGCAATCTGGAAATACCTCGACCCTTGTGCTTCTTCCTAATGGCATGACAGCTATGCACCCATTGCGTTACAGCTGAACAGCGACGACGTACCCTGTACGTACGGACAGTGGTCAACAATTGCTTCAGCTGTGTACTGACAGCACACTGTTTTTATGCAGCGCTAACTTGCAAAATAATCGAATTCGTCTGGCCACACTGCATCCTCCAAAAGCATGCCAGCGATGGACCCAAATCGATCACTTCGCTATCAGTTACCGATGTTTTGGATCCACAAACGACTGTCGTTCGTTTTGGAACAATTGCGTGGATCCTGACCATGCACTCGTTCAGATTCACGTCTCTCTTTGTTTTACTGAGTTTTGTAAGGTACGGACAAATCGCCTGGCAGGTGAAAGGCCCGCAGATACTGAAGTCGGGCGAATTTATCGGAATCTTCTTCCCAAGTCTCTGCTAACTGCTAGAACAATGCGGTATGCACAAACAACCCGCACTGTGAGTACTCCTGAATTTCCA